GCCACAGCTTCTCTGGGCAACCTGTGCCAGGGCCTCCCCACCCTCACAGAGAGGAATTTTTAAAAAACTTCCTGTCTGTTCACCTTTTTCAGATTAAAGAAGGAACAGGGAAAGGCTCTTTGATAAATTACTTTCTTGCCCAAAAATGTTTGCTTCCTTATGAATAATTTTTGTTTTCAAAGCAAAATGACAGAAAAGGGAAACTTTTTGGCCTGTCATGAAGTATAAACCATATTTAGGATTTCAGTTCCCTGGAGATTTCAGACAGCTCAAAGTTTTCCTCCTCTTCCCCTTCTTCATCCACCTCTTCTTCCTTTTTATATTAATATTAACAGTAATGAAGGTATTTAACTTTTATCTTGCTTTTTAAAATTTCATTAAGATCCTGGACACAGTTTAGATTCCTTGGATACACTAATATTAAATATTTTTGTCTTTCAAATTTACAGGTAAAGTTTGGGGAGCCACAAGACCTGGACTCCCAAGAACTCTTTGGATGGATATCTTCCTTCATTAGTGAGTTTAGGAAGGCCTGTGCTGAAGTCACACCATAAGGAGAACACAGACCTTATAGAGAGGTGAGGGAAAGAGGAGTCCAGGAAACAAGATTTATTTGGTTTGTTACTTACTCATAAAAACCACATAACCAGTATCTGTACAGCAGACCACCTGGTTTCGAGAGATATTCAGTTTATAATGTGTAATTTGTAAGTGGTATTTGTAGAATCCCAGATGACTTAAGAGCCTCTCTCTTAATTTTTCTCATGTACATGTTATAGTACCTTGAGATTCCTGTATATTTAGAAAGGAAACACATCTGACATTTTATAACTTCTCTTTTCAATCTTCTCCTTTGATACCCAGTCTTCTGACTCAGTTTTAACTATTATTTTCAATGAGTAAGTTTCTGTATGGTCTTCTGATTTCTAAATAACACTTTCCCAAGTTTAATAATGAAATGGGGAGCTGTTACCCACAGAGGAGACTATTTAACTAAAATTCTAGTTTGTTTTTCTGCTATTAAAGCACTGAAGCCTTAGTATGGAATGGAGAAAGTATCTGGCTAGGTGTTTTGTTTTGTAGTACAATAAAATGGTGCTTTTTATGGCTAATGTCATGTATTGGGATAAAATGCTACAGAAATCAATCAATATGTGAGATTTGCATTTGCAGGAAGACAAAAATGTCAGAGAAGCAAAATAAAAAGGTGTCACAAAGTATCTAAGTAATGGATATGGGAGGTAATTATCCATGGTTTTCAAAAGAGAAAATACTTCTGTTGCATTTGTTGGCTTTTACATGTTTTTAATTAGAATAATTATCTAGAGCTCAAATAAATGAGAGGAAAAGGAGGCTTCTAAATGCAAAGACAAAATGGATGTTTTTAACACTAAAAGCAGAAAATAGCTTAAAAGGTCATTGAAAAAAATTGGCATTTTCTTCACCAGTTCTGCAAACAGTGTTTTAGGAAAATGTGTTTTACCTGATTTATTTCAGGTCTGACTGCCCAGGTCTCGCAGTGTTTGGGCTTTGATGGAAATGCTGAACACTCTCCCTGACTTCAGTGCTAAAAGGAGTTGGGGCTAATCCCTCTGAAGGGTTAGATGAACTTACATCCAAAATTTACATTATCACAGCTCTCTCTCAGCTGGCAGATAACACTGCTCCATATCCAGCATGTTCTTGGCTGCTCCAGGTGGGTCCACTGAACGTCCTGGAGTTTAGGAAAAGGGCCAGGAAGGAGCTGGGCACCCACCCATTGGGTGCTGCAATGCATAGATTTTTAGTGCTGGTGTCACACAGGTAAAGGACAATCACCACGAGTGCAGAGACTCTTGGACACTGGAAAGTGGAGATGGAAGAATCCCAGGATTTTCTTTCTTGTCTTGGCCTCGGTGCTCCAAAGGGCAGCACAGGCAGCAGCTCCCGGGGGGGTTACAGCTGTGACTGCCAGCCCAGCCAGCTGGGAGAAGGTAGAAAAGTGTTCTTGCAGCTAATTAGGAAGAAATTGTTCCCTGTGAGGGTGGTGAGGCCCTGGCACAGGTTGCCCAGAGAAGCTGTGGCTGCCCCATCCCTGCAAGTGTCCAAGGCCAGGTTGGATGGGGCCTGGAGCAACCTAGGCTAGTGGGAAGTGTCCCTGCCCATGGCAGGGGAGTGGGACTGGATGATCTTTAAGGTCCTTCCAACCCAAACCGTTCCATGATTCCATGATTGCAGCAGCAGCCAAGTAGCCAGTGGGATCCCTCAGCTTTGCACCACCAGTGTTGCTCCCCTCCATCAGCTCTTCCATGTCTGCACTTGCAAAGGGCACAATTTTGGCTTCTCAACAGCCTTGTCAGGGCTTTTCTCCCAGTTAACCACACGCAGTCATCTTTCTCAGAAGCAAAAAGAGTAAAATAAAAGCAAAATTATTACCTCTGATACTTATTTTATATAAAAATATTCACAGAAGCAAATAAAGGGATTTAATTTTGCAGAAATATTGGCTATATTTGCCTCAGGTCAGCATCAGATCAGTGAGATCTGGTTGACCCTGAAGTCAGTGGCATGTATCTGTGCATCAGGAGCTGCAGTTTACACCCCTCATTTCTGGCTGAAAGGGGAAAATGAAATTCCCTTTTAATTTCTTGCCTCTCTATCCCACAGTGCCCTATGCAGGACATGGACATGCACTGTAAACACTTGCAGGTTTGGATGTGTGTCATTACTGCTCCAAAATCTGAACTATCCTCTTTTATATGTGAATCATGTCAGATAATCCTGAATACAAGAGTCATTTCCATGGTATCAAGATCCCTGCATCCCTGAGCAGTGTTCGTGATGGTCATGATAAGTTCCAGGTTTTTTCTACCTTGGCTCCAGGGTCCTGGGAAGTCTCTTTTAACTAAATAGATATTTTTCTTTTATTTTTCACAACTCACTTTTTTCCCCCAGTCTTTTTTCTCTATTATTATATCTAACAGCCTGTGCTTGTTTTATAGCTCAGCTGGCATGGCCTTTTCCAATTAAAAATATATCCTACATGGTAGTCAATATCTGTGTCTTTGTGTGAATATCCTGGAGCATTAATTAAAAAAATTAATGTCCAAATATCTTCTTGTCAAGAAGTCCTCTCCCCTTCAGAGGGAACTTTCCTCTGGAGTGGGATCTTCCCGAGGAGAAATGTTTCAATTTTCCCAAATAAGCTGCTTCTTCAGTGCCTGTGAGTTTCAGAGACCTCCTGATTTATATGTAAGATAAATAGACCCTGTTCTCTACCTGGTTCTTTATTTCTTAAGTGTTATTTAGCATAAGGCTGGGTTTTTCAAATCTTATCACTTATCATTGTATCACTAAGTTTTAGTGGCATAAAGAATAATAGTTTTTATGCCTCAACATTTATTTCAAATTATTTAGACAAGATCAAAGTCTCCATATGGATGATATCCTTGGAATCCTTCATAGCAGATGATGATTTTATCCTGCAAACCTATAGTCATAAAAACCTAAGCATTGGATGAACCTCTTTGTTTATTTGTATATAGTAATATATATTTGTAAATAATATACATTTGTATATAATAATCTGGATCATTTGTTTCCCTACAAAACCCACAGAGCTGACTTTTGGAATATTTTTTAATATGAAAGCTGATTGGTGGTGTTATAAGAAGTTCTGCTCAGTGAAATTCTCTCAATATTGAGCTGTGGGAAGTAAGGCTGTGGGTCAAATGCTGCACAGATTTTCCTTTCCTGGCAGCTCAGCTGCCAGGGTAAAACCTGCTCCCTGAAAAGGAAAGAAACCGAAAAGGAAGCAGAAATCTCTTTTCATGCTTTGTTTCCCTAAAATGCACACTCTTGGTGGGATGAGCAGTATTTCAGCAGGAACAGGAACGATAATTTCTGTAGCTCACATTAGACATTGGTGTTGTTCAGCAAAAACATGACTCAGGGAAGAAACTCCCAGAAGAAATTCCTGACTTTATCCACCTGTCCAGAGTCTCAGTGTTTTCTAATCTGCCCCAGGAAATGCTGTGAGAAATGGAGCTCCTACAGGGACAGGCCACTGAAGTGATCTGAGCTCCCAGAGGGGCCTGTGTTACACCTGCACCACCACTCACAAGGGATTTCCAAAAAATAGGTTGAAATACAAATATCTCTCCACAAAGGCAGAAACTTCTCAGAGTTTCTTTGAACTAAAAATATAAAGAGCAGAGATTATCCAACACTAGACTCAGTGGAAAAAACTGAACTCCCAGAAAGGGACAATTATATCCTAGGGCAGTGGCTCAACTTTGCCTTCCAGTTTTCCTCTTTTTTTTTCCCTTTTCTATTTGAATTACCATGCAACAGGCAGAGTGTTCCTGCTAATTTGTATAAATGAACAGTCAAAATAAAAACTGGTCACTTGGAAGATGTTCTATGCATAAGAGCCTTGATGTCACTTATGTGTGCTGGTCTTCTAGTTTGAATTCATGCTTTTCAATTCCAAACAGCAATTTTAGGAGAAGGGAAAAAATGGTGTTAAGACAAAGTGAATAAAAACATGAGGTCTCTAAAAGGGAGCCTGTTGGGCACTCACTGTACAACAACTGAAGCCTCAAAGTGTTCTTAGAAAATGCTCCTGTGCTTAAGAAGTTGCTGCTAATGATGATGCTCAGAAGAACCACAGACAGGTTTCAAGCTGCTCATCTTAGAGAAGAACATATTAAAAGCTTCAAGCCAAGAGGCTGCTTAAAGAGCCCTTGGAGAGATCCTTCCCTGCCTCACACACAGATGTTTGGATTTGGATATTCATAGAACCAAGAATTGATTCCCTGATTTTAAAGATGTTTTCTAGCTGCCTAAATGCTCAGGTAGTAAGTTTTCTCACCAAATTAAATGTAGTTATTCATTTTTTCACTCTCTCTGCTCACTGCCCAAGGAGAATATCCCAAAAGCTGAACCACCTACTTTCTTCCCAGAGTAACAAAAAAAAGGAGAGAGAGCCTTTGAAAACTCTAACTCAGGCAGGTATGAATACTTTGTGCAAATAATAATTTTATTTAGCATTAACTTGAATATTTCACGTCACAGCGTGTTATTGCACCTGACATGAGATGTCTAAGCAGAACAGTGGGTTTGTTTGGGTGCACATTGAAATAATTGCAGGGAATGCTAAATGGCTTAAGCCTTTACATTTGCTGCCTATTTACCAAGAGATGAATTTTGCCCATTGAAATATTTTAGTCAAGGGCAGTCAGCAGTAATTTAACAACAAAACCCCATGAAGTAGCTAAATATTGCTTTAAGCTCATTTTACAAATAAGACACTTGAAACAAAAGGTTTCAGATGTAAATTTGAGGTCTCTGGATGCAACATAAAAATACTGCAGTGTGTTTTGAAGCATCAATAACTGACACTCTTTTGCTTGCACAAGGGTAAATAACTGGTGATCTGTGCTCTGGTGATGTCCCTTGCTCATAAGCATTGACCTAAAAAAACCCCTAAACCCCAAAGGTTATTGTCCATAAAGATCAAGTACTGATGGGCATATTTATACCAAAATTCTTCTTGTAGCTCCTAGAAATTTTCCTGAAAGAGCTCTACAGGATGTGCCCTGAAACGAAGT